AGCAAAATGGCTGTCTGAGGAGGCCTTACAAATAGCTGTGGAAAGAAGAGAAGCAAAAAGCAGAGGAGAAAAGGAAAGCACATGAAAGGTGAAATAAAAGGTGTTTACTTAGCCATTAGGAAAATGCAAGTTAAAACCACAATGTGCTATCACCACACTAAAATAGAAGAGACTGACAATGCCAAATGCTGGCGAGGATGCAGAGAAACCGAATCATTCACACATTGCTGTGTGTGATTTTTTGCATTTTTATGAATGCAAAAATGGTACAGCCCCTCTGGAAAACAGTTCAGCATTTTCTTCAAAAACTAAACATGCACTAACCATACAACTCAACAATTCCACTGCTGGACATTTATTCCAGAGAAATGACAATGTATGTTTACACAAAAATATGTACATCAATGTTTAAAGGAGTTCATTCCTAATAGTCAAAATCTGGTAACACTCCAGATGGTAAAACAAATTGTGGTACAAACTAAATATTGACACCTGCCACAGCCTGGATGAATCTCCAGAGAATTATGGTGCGTGAAAAAAGCTAGTTCCCAAAGATTACACATTGCCTGATTACACTTATATTCTTAGGATGACCAATTATTGAAATAGAGAATAGATTAATGGTTGCCAAGAGGTTAAGGATGGGGTTGGACGTCAGGCATGAGTGAAACTGCAGCTTGCCCTCTGTTCCTATTGCTGATGACCCTTCAGCTCTACCACCTCCCACCTCTCCTTCCTCCTCTAGTCAGTAACTCTTCTTGCCTGTTCACTTGATGCCAGCCCCTGTGTGCCAGCCGTTATAATGTACTCCTGTACTTTTCAAGGTGCTGTACTGTGAGATTAAAATTGTTTTACTTTAAAAAGCAATAAAAAAGGATGGGGTTGGAGCAGGCAGGGAGGTAGCTGTGGTTATAAAAGCCCAACAAGAGGGAAGGATCCTGGTGATGATGGAAATGTTCTGGATCTTGCATGTATCAATGTCAATAATGTGGCTGTGATATTGTAGTACCATTTTGGAAGGTGTTACCATGCAGGGGGTACTGGGTAAACAGTATATGGACTCTCTCTGTATTATTTCTTACAATCATCTGTAAGCCTATATATATATATAAAGAGATTAACAAAACCACTCCCCATGCCTGGGTTGCAGTCCATACCTGGTAAATTACAATACTGAGAGATGGGAGCCAGGCATCAGTAGTTTTAAAAGATGGCCAGGTGATTCCAGTGGGCAGCAAATTTGGGGACCACTGAATTGAGCATTTCAGAAGCCTCTAAGGAGATAATCTAAGAAGAATGAGAAAAGACAAACAAACAGTTTTCCTAAAGTTCTGTTAGAGGCCTCTTTGCAAAAGGGAATGGCAGAAGCATCCTATTACATTTTGGGCACAGCCCCAGACAATTTGAGGGAGAAGCCCTGAATGTTTCTTACTCATCTTGCAGGCTCCTAGCATTGAGTTTTCCCTAACTGAGAGTTCCAGCCTCCATGCCAGCATTATTAACCACTTTATTAATTGTATTAACTGACAAAAAAATATTTTATAAATAGGTCAATTTCTTCCTATCCATCTTTATCCCAATGATCTTTATTAAATCCAGCCTGAGAAATGAGTTATATAAACGCTGATAGAAGTTCCAGGGCCTCCCCAGGTATTACAGGTGTGTGGCTGTTTTAAAATTAACTCTCCATCCACACCTGGTTGGAATGTCAGAAACTAATATTCACTTCCCTTTTTCCATGACATTTGTTAGAGATACCACTTAAACTTGCTCTAATAATTGGTATGAAGTATAAGATGAAAGGAGAGAAAGAGGCTGAAACTTTCCTTAAGTTTGGACCCAATTTCACCTTTGCAGTAAGTCCTACTACACTGATGAGTGGATTTTCAGAATGTTTCTCTATTGCATGTTTCCAAATGTTATCATGCCCTCTTTTTCGACCTAAGTCTTCTCTTGGGACTTTTCCTTTTAAATTAAAAACACTGTTTAAAATGCATGATCAGAGGAACATTAAAGTAATGAGAAAAGGCAGCCTTATCGGATAAGATAATCTGCTTTTCCTCAAAGATGCCATTTTTATTGCATTAAGGGTTGCTTGCTCAAAGAGATCTGAAGAAGAAACACAAATTAACTCTGTACATCAAGTCCTCTTTCTCACATCTGTTTGATTTTTACACTACTAGTACAGAATTGGCTCCATGGAGACCCAAAGAATAGGAAAAATGAGCTATCTTTAATATTTGTTTTTTTTTATTCCAAGAAATCTTCAGGGAAAGATGAAGTTAGACAGAGATGCTAGGGAATGAATGTAAATCCATTTTACCATTCAATCCATTTACCTGCTAATCAGGACAGAAGAGTCAGGAGTCATGACCTCTGAAACAGAGGCACTTCTGGATTTAAGCACACACAGATGCAAAGCATTCGACTCAGTTAAGGACAACGAATGGAAACAAAGCAATGCACACGGTTACCTCTCACCCCTTGATGGAAACTTCCCTTCAGCAACACCTGGAGGCTGCACAGTCAAGACGATTTAAATAAAAGACTCAGAGGCAGGAAACCCCTCCTCAGCCCAGCTCTTCATGAACACAGCTTGTTGCTGCACCAATTTACTCTGCCTCTAATTCACAGTTCTCTAGCCCCACCCTCCTTTGGTTCTCACCAGGCAAGGAACCCTTCCCATCCAGCCCCCCTGCAAGGGCCTTTGCTCAGGCCATTCCTGCTGCCTGCAGTGAGGGCCCCCTGACTCCTTGCTGCTGGCTCCCTCTCAGACTTCAGGTTTCAATTATAATATCCCTTCCCACTCCCCTCGCTCCAGAGTCAGTCTCTAACTCTGAGTCCTAGTCTCAGACTCTTATTCCAGGGCTTGACATCTGTTGGGGGGCATCCCACAGGTCTGCAAGCCTTGTAGTTGTCCAGCCTCAAGACCAAAGAAACAGCCTGGAGACAGCGACAGAGACATGGGTGGTTTATTGGAAGGGGGAATCCTACAAAGGGTCCTGAAACAACAACTCAACACAACGTGTGGACAGGACATCAATAGCAACATCCTTTGCTATTCAGGGGAGAAGGAGGCTACCATTTACAGGGAGAATTGATGTCAGTTACCAGGGACTAATTAAGCCCTATAACTAAGCGGACTGAGTATTTATGTGAGTGAAGCAGGGGCTGGTGGAGCAAGGGATGTACGCAGAGTGAGAGAACAGCCATCTTGAATGGCCTGACCATATAACATCTAACAGATAATTATTCATGAAATTAATAAATGCTTTCTCGAAAAAATTAATAAATGCTTCCTCCAGCTAGATGAGTAGATAGCTTAACATTTATTAGGACAATTTCAGTGACTAATAAAAACTGACTACATTTTTCTTTTGGCCTCACCATGTGGCATTCAGGATCTTAGTTCGCTGACCAGAGATCAAACACCTGTCCCTTGCCTTGGGAGCAGAGAGTCTTAACCACTGAGCCTCCAGGAAAGCCCTGACTACATTTTTAATTAAACATGCACGCCCATATGATACCTAAATACGGAGACTACAGTGATCAGCTCAAGCCATTCAGGATCTGAGACCACTTTCTAATGATGATATGTAGGCTACTCATTTAAGCATTCAGTGATCTGTGAGCCAGACCTGACCACTCTTGTTTCCCAGCTGTTTCCTCCTCCACTCACTTCCATGCATCTAGTCTCTGTCCCATTCACCCATTAGAGACACCTGTACTTATGAGTCATAAGGGCCATTGATTTTAAAGTCTTGGAGAGCAAGGACCACACTTTAAATAATAATAGCAAACACTATTGAGTATTTCCTCCGTACCAGTCAAAATGTTATGTGCTTTCCTGTATTAATAAAATATGCAGTGGAGCCATGACTGGAGCCCAGGCCCAACAACTGCAGAGCCAGTATACACACTCTTCTTTAACCTGGATCTGACACTTCTCAACTGTCAGCATGACCTTTGGCAAGTTGCCTCAGTTTCCTCTTCTGTAAAATGGGGATGACCCATTATCTATCTCAGACGGTTACTGAGAGGACTAAATGCTGAGAAGCCCACTAGACTCATTAAATGTTAGTTGTTATCATTATTGTTTATAGTTACGTCAAAAATTCCAGGAAACCTCTCAGTCCTGGTTTTAGAACGTAAAGTCCCCGGTTCTCGGCAAAAGTTAAAAGTGAGTCTAGATGGCAGACTCAGGTAAAGGAGTCAGAGGTTCCCTGCTCATTCTCCACTGCCTGCCTCTTTCAGAGCCCACCTTAAAATTCCCCCTTATATCCTGGAACTGACCTTTCCCCTCGCCACAATATTTCAGAAACCTGTACTCCTTAGTCTACAGGCCGTACTGCAGAAAGCATTACTTTTTTAGTACATTCTTTTACGCAGACCACCGATCTGTTTTCTAAGAGCAAATTATTTGGTGTCAGGCCGTTCCTAAGTCTATCAAAAGGTTTTAAAAGTCCCGGCTACCTGAACGAAACGAGAGCATCTAGTGCCCCCTGCCGCCGTTCGTAGGAAAGGCAACCAAATAAAAAACGCTCGATTCTTTGACCGTGAACTTTTGCTGATCAAGTTCTAAATAGAAATTGGTATAAATACCCTAAAATTGAAGCTAGATTCCCGTTTTATCTTTTCTAGAAGTCAATGTCTTGAAATTCAGCTGTTTACTTTGCCTACGCAGGAAAAAAAAATGACTAGCTTAATTATACTTTTCTCATTTACTTTTGCTTTCCTTGAATTCGACTGTACCTGTTGTGACTTGGGGATTTATTTGTACTGGTTTTTGTCTTACTCTTGGCTCGCTTTCACTTCCGTGAAGCCTGAGGCTGACGCCCAGGGCGAAGGTTGAGGCGTCGGCTGACGGAGGCGACCTCCGCCGGCTTCACCGGCCTCGGGAACCCTCTGACGCGCCCCAAGAAGCCTCTGACGCGCGTCGACCTCTCAGCTTCCTCAGACGCCGAACTTCCCCGGATTTATAGAGCGCGCCGTTAGAGCCAATGGGACGCCGGCGCACGACTAAGTGTCGATGGACTCAACCAATGAGCATGCGAGTTAGGCGATACGGGCCCGCCCACCTCGGCCATATAAGCGGTCTGCTGGTCGCTCACGACGAAAGCAGGTGGTTCCGATTATGGTCTGGGCTGTGGCCGGTGCCCACGAACGGGGTCCGCGGCGTCCTCGCCGGGAGGGTACAGCTGGATCTGCTATGGGGGTCAGAAGCAGGTCAGGGCGAGCAGCCGATGGAGACGATGCGCCCAGCCGAGAACAGGCACGGGGCCGCCGGAGAACCTTCCAAGAGCGAGCAGGGCGCGGGTAGGGGCTGGGAAACTCGGGAGTCCCTGGGTGGCCTTGGGCATCGTCCCCAAGCCTCCTGGCCTAGAGGATAGGAGGCCGGGCGTCAAGTGTGCGCTCGGATTGGGGCTGAGCCAAGTCCTGCCGTGCCCCAGCCAAGACCTCCATCCCCCCGGCACGTTCTCTCCTCCAGCTGGGAACGGACTCACTGTGTCACTGCAGCCTCTGCCCCAGGAAGGCCACGTTTCCTGACCGTGACATCTGAGCACAGAGGAAGACAGGGATAGACGGTTGCACTTTGATAAGAGGGTGTCTTCCAGTTGTGACCAAACCCCCCGGCCAGGTTGCCCTTTCTTTCCCCTCCCAGCCTGAAGGGGCTGCGGTCTTGAGTTTTGTTAGGGCCTCGGTGGAGCTGAGATCTCAGTAAGGAGGTGGTGCAGCTTTGTTAACTGTCTTTCCAAGATGGAATCTTTCATCCTCAGGATGAGTGAGAATGGACTTTTGCTGCGAATTGTGGCTTTATTTGTAATCCTTCCAGTGAAAACTTTGGGATACCCAGCCCTTCCTTAGCTCATGGATTTCTAGTAAGGCATTCAAAGCTCATGACTTCTTTGTAAGACTTCTTGTGGCCATGTGTCTCACCCGACCTTTTCAGAAAATTGTTCATTGGTGGCATAAGCTGGGACACCCAGCCTGTGTATTAACTGTCATGTTTTGTATCAGGAGAGTGCTAGTTTTAACCTTTTTTTTTTTTTAATCACATTGAGTATTGTGACTATGTTTTCTAAGAGGTCAGATAATGAAAATGAGAACAATTATACTACCAAGGCAAGCATGATCCCATCACCAAAAAAAAGGCTAAACAACTGTGTTATGTTAACTTCCCTGCTGGCTCAGACGGTAGATAAAGAGTCTGCCTTCAATGTGGGAGACCCGGGTTCAATCCCTGGGTCGGGAAGATCTCCTGGAGAAGGAATTGGCAACCCACTCCAGTATTCTTGCCTGGAAAATCCCATGGACGGAGAAGCCTGGTAGACTACAGTTCATGGGGTGGCAAAAAGTCGGACACGAATGAGTGACTTCACTTTCTTATGTTAACAACAAATGGAAGGACACATACAGTTGGATTGAAAGGGGTGGGTGGTGGTAAATAATCCACACAGAGCATCCTGTGCAGTGTGTGGGAAAGACTTTGGGATTGGGCATAGTGGAGAAGCGAATGTGAAAGCACATTTGGAGCTTGAATCTGGCAAGTTCAGAATGAGAGAGGTGAGTGCCTCCAAACAAACCAAAAGTGTTGTCTTTTGGAGAAATGAAATCAGCCTTCAGTCAGAAGTATCAACAGCAGCTGCTGAATTAGCGCTGGTGTCCCACATGAACAGACATGCCTTGTCCTTTGGGTGCCTTGATTATTTTATGAAACTGAGTACAGTCACTTTTCCTGATTCAGAGGCAGTGACCAGAATATCCTGTGGTTATATGATGAATTTACAGATGTCAGCAGCTGGGCTGTCACAACAAGGCTGTGGAAACAAAGTGGGTGGATGTTTTTGGAGAAATGGAAATGAATCCCTACAAATCTAAAAACTTGTCATTACTAATAAGTAAAATTCCAAGTATTCCATGTTCAAATGTTTGTATTGAGTGGATATTTAGCTTAATATCATCACATTGGCCTGAGCCTCAGTGTGGTGAGGATGAGAACAGAGCTGCAGGTCAGAGTGAATTTGATGACTTTTGACTGTATTGTATGCAGTTTTACCACTGCATCAAAGAAAAGGATGTCTTAAAGGCTGCAAGCAACTCAGAAAAGTATTATTGGAAAAGAAGACAGAAAGAATGAAAATATTCTACCGTATCTTGGGACAGAAATATGTCATCTTTTAAATATGGGAAATACCTGTTTAATCTTATTCATAGTTTCCTTTTAAAGTTTTACTTTATGTATCTTATTTATATATTTATACTTAAAATATCCACAATGTGTCTACTTTAGAGATAAATGATACACATGTATTGAGATGCTTGTTCAAAATTTGACTGATGAGCAGAGAGAGGCCTAAATGATAAGTAACCACGTGGGATCTGAAAGAAGAAAAGAATCAAGGACCTGACAGAGGGTTTGTTCTTTGTTTAAAAATCAACTAGTCCCTTGTGATGTTGGTTTCTATGAATCAATCTCCCAAAGCCAGGATGCCCCTGGAAGAAAGGATACAAACTGAGTTTCTGCACATTTGAAAATGAGGACCAGGTTCAGGATCACAGAGCATTTACTGATGTGCAAACGTCCTTGGAGGTCCTGCCTGAGCAGTCCATCTGCAAGTCAGTCGGGCTCTCAGCCTTGCCCTTCTTTTCCTTCACATCCATCAAATCAACTTAGGAAACCCTGCATTACTGGGGACTGGGAGTTCTGCAAATCCAAAGGGGCCTGAGGATAGAAATCAGGAATTGGAGAACTGGATGGGAAAAAGAAGTTTCTGTGTTCACCAGCCTCTGACTGAAATTTAACATTTGTTTCCATTAGGAAAATAGGCAGCAAACCAAGTAGTACTGGTACCTGTGACTGTGTCATCCCCACGAATCACAGATACTCACATGTTACAGATACCTCAAAGTATTGTTATATGCACCACTACTTGGAAGTTACAGTAATTATTATACCCACTCCTAGATCCCATGATTTAATAATGAAGCACATCTTTGGCACAGATTTAAATGTTTACTACTTTAATAACTTTCCTTCTTTGGATAACTTTATTTCAATAAAACTGGCTTCCCTGGCAATCCTGTGTATTTTATCTTGTACGTTTCTCCAGGAGTGGTGGCACATTGGAAGTGGATAATGAGCAGACAGCTTTACAAAAAAGGCAGAGGTGAATAGATTTTGCTGCACCCTCACCTTGAGCTCTAATCTTCCCATTAGAAGGAGTAGGTGGCAGTTGGTGGCATGTAAGTTGAGAGGACCGTGGCCCCTTTGCCCAAGAACCTTCCTGTTCCCACATGTTGTTCATGTTGCTTTTTTAGATGAAAATACCTTGAGTAGGAATGCTCATGCTTTCAGCCTCTAAGACCTCAGTGACAGGGCTGGAAGGGATCTCAGCATCATAAATCCAGGCTCTGGGGTTCAAGGATAAGTTATTTACTTGAGGAGGGGGATCATATTAGTTAAAGATAACTGAGGTATCCCAAAGTTTTTGGTTTTATTCTGGATAGAGAAAGTGTCCTGGGAGTCTTGGGAGAGAGAAAAAGGGAAGGAGGGAGGAAGGAAAAGAGACATACACACGTGGGTGTGCACATGTGTGGGAGAACACAGGCACAAGGGTTCCAGCGTGCACTGGGCTAAGGATGGGCATAGAAGGGGATGAGGAGAGCTGGAAGAACTCAGCACCAAACTCCAGGATACCACTTTCTCCATTCACATTCCAGCGCCTGCCATCAACTCTCCTATGCCTCTCCCAGAACCCTGTTAACTCCCTCAGCCCACCTTAAGACTTCTCAGACGTTAGATATAGTCACACTGCTTCCTTGAAGCACTTTTAAACACAAGGAGTAGATTCAGCAAACAAATATCACAAGGTTTAATTTATATTCTTAGGTTTTTTTTTTTAAAAGAAATCCTATTATTCCCAGTCCCGCGGCATCCCTATAGCTGCATGATGAACCCTAGATGACGCTTCCCTGGTGGCCCCGACGGTAAAGAATCTGCCCGCAATGCGGGTGACCTGGGTTCGATCCCTGGGTTGGGAAGATCCCCTGGAGACGGGAAGGGCAACCCACTCCAGTATTCTGGCCTGGAGAATTCCACGTACAGAGGAGGCTGGCGGGCTACAGTCTATAGGGTCGAAAAGAGTCGGACACAACAGAGCGACAGCCTAGATGACAGCCTTCTTCAAATCTGAAGAGCTATTATATAAGGAAGAGGGTGGGAGTTACTGGCAGTGGCCTGGAAGGCAAAACTGGAGTGAGGTGAGAAGTTGTAGCCTGGAGGCAGGACTCACAGGTTTATCCCTGGGAATGCGTTATTCTGGAATTAGACATGATTTAGTGCCTTTCAGTTCTGGCACTCTGTACCTGGTCCCTTCAGGTACTTAAGGCCGGCAAATCCTGGGTTTTACCAGGATGCTGGTCTCCGCACCACATCTAGATAACGTCGTAGATGGTGCGATGTAGTGAAGGGTGCTCGGGCTTTGAAACCAGACCAACTCGGGCTCTAACCTTTGCACCCCACTTAGGAGTTGAGTCTGTGGAAAACTCCTTTGCCTCTCCGAACTTTAGCTCCCTCCGCTGAAAATGGGGTCAATCTGCTGGAGAGTACGTAAAAGGCCTGCTGGAGAGGCCCCACAAACGCCCCTTAAATGAAGGAATCTCTTCTCCGGTTAAAAATCGTTTGCCCTCTGGAATCCCCGTTATACCCAGGTCCACGCCCAGTCTCACTCCGTCCAGCAGGGGGCAGCAGACTCCAGTCCCAGGATCAGGGCCAGACCCGAAAGCCGGGTCGCCGGAGCGAGTGGCCGGGTCCCGAGCGAGTGACCAGGTGTGGCCGCCGCCTAGGATGCTAGAGCGCCGGCACTGCAGGTGGTACAGGCAAGTAACAACCTCCGCTGCGCCGGGACGGAACCGACAGGGTAGGACCGAGCTGCCGAGGAAGGGATGCAGCGCATGCGCATGAGGGGGCGGGGCCGGTGCTTCCTGGAACCAGCAGCCCCGCCCAGTCCTGGGAGGTGAGCTCTCAGTGGGAAGGCGCTGGCGGTGAGCTTAGCTTCTCGGTTCCAGGTACGAAGTTTTCCTGTAGCTGGCTCCCAACTTTTTTCTTTTCACCCGCGGGGAGAGCTTGAGGCTGCAGGTGAGCTGTACATCTAGCTGTACCTCGAGATCTTTCTGCCCGTAATTTTCATGCAAAGGTGCAGAAATAGGCAGATAACGATGCCGAGAAACTTGGGAAGATTTTGCAGGGGGTGGAGTCTCCTCTTCCGGGTATCGCTTCTCTTTTTTCTGGGAAGTCCCCGAATTTCTTCCTTCCGAGGTCCTGAATCTCCTACCTGTCCTCCCTCCTCCCTTCCCGGAGCTAGGGAGAGATGGAGAAGGGGGTGGGGCCCTTGGATCAACGCAGAAATGCTTGGTAAGGTTTCAAACCTTCCCAGCACCATCCAGACTTCACTCGAAAGTCTTTCGAGCCCCCAAGGAGTTCAAAGGTAGGTAATTATTGATACTTAGCATAGCAAATGGTTTTTATATAATAGCTTAGGGAGATCTCTTAGTGGGTTCTCCAAATTTTGGAGGGCTAGGGACAAGCCAGGGCCCTGTCACCTAGTTTGGTCCGCTGTGCAGTAAATCATTTTGCTGCATTGCACCAAAGATGCTTTCTGGCTTTTTCCAAGGGCTGGGCATTGCATTTGCGATGGGAGCACGTGATGCGTCGCGCACACCATCCTCATTCCCGTCCCCGCCTTGTTAACGCAGCCTCTGGCTTTCTTGTGTAATTCTGAGCAAATCAAACGGTCCTGCAACGGAAAAGGAGCGACAGGGCGAATTGCCTTTTGCTTGGATTTTCGCTGTAAACCCTTACAAGAGCTGAAAATAGATTTCTTTTGCCTCCTTAGAGCAACACTCAGTTCACTAAGGAGATGAAGCGATTTTTCCTGGCAATAGAGCTATGCGAGGGTAGGTCAGTTACAGAGTATCTTAAGGCAGAAGTTATTCCTGAGTTTAGTCTTGAAGGAGCTTGACTGGTGCGGAGGAGAGAGAAGGTCAACCGAAGTGACTCTGCATCAGGGCCCCAAGAGAGAGTCAGAGGAAAAACTGGGGTGGGGGTGGGGGCTCAGAGGAGGGAAAAGGAAACAGCCTTCCACAGCGGGTGATTGACTTAAGGAAAAAATTAGGTTCCTGTTACCACCTGATGATAAGTGATTTCTCTCATAACTTCACCTCTGTATGTAAGGGTGTTTCCTGACTGTGTGTTGATCATCTTAGACTGAATATGTTTCTTGCACTGCTCTCCGTTTTAAAACCATGCCATGCTGTCTCATGCCACTAGGCTTTCGTAGGTGTCTCCCTTCTGCCTAGGACACCCCCCTCCTTGCCAGCCTTCTTCCTTGCTTTCTCCTGCCCTCCTCAAGGCCCCCGCTGGGCCCCTGCTTCCTCACAGAATGAAGCTTAGGCTCCCAGGCTGGGAGGGTGAAGCTCCTGGTTATAGGGCTTGTTCCTGTCCTCTAAGGGCTCCCTCATGCAGCTGCCGCCTCCCTGGTGCCACACTGGAAGTCCCGGAAGATCAGGGCCGTGTCCATCAATGGGGCTTTCCGTCTCTTCCTGCTGCCGGCACATAGAAGACACCCAAGAAATCGTTGTTGATGTAACTGAGTATATGTGCAAGTTATATCAGTACTGTTATGGCTTGAGTCTATGAACGCCTGCATCTTAAATGCACCCTGCCTCAGTTGATTTCTTACTGTGCTGAAATAGTATTGCCCTTGTTCACGTCAAGCGTAAAAATGGGTGAAGAGTGAAAGGGAGGATCATCATTTGAGCAGCTAATATTTGTTGGGTGTTCAGTGTGTGCCAGGCATGGGTTCTGAGTGCCTTACAGCGGTAACTCATTTAATCACCATAGCAACTCTGTGAGGTAGGCATGTTTATTATCCCTGTTTTATAGATGGAGAAACTTAAGATACAGAGAGATTAAGGGACGTGCCTAACATTACATGTTGGTGAAGACAAGCATACCCTGTGGAATGTGATGGGCTCCTTGAAAAAGACAGGAAGTAGGACTGGACGTGAGGTGCTCACAGGGCTGAGGGTGATAGGTCTCCAGGTGCAAGACAGTGCAGTGTGGGCTAAGCTACGAGGCCAAGAAGTGCGTAACGCAGAATTCAAAACTTTCAGGAACTTCAGTGTCACTTGCATGTTCACTCTTTTGGCAACTAACTTAGTTTTTGGAAGTACTACTGATTAGGAATGAAACTTCTCTGAGTCTGCTATCTTGGTTCTGCTGTGTGACCTCGGGGCTTCTGCTTGCCTTTTCTGTGCTTCAGTCGCCTCATCTGCAAAGTGGATAATGATAGTACTTACCTCCTAGGGTCGTGGTGATAATTAAATGAGTTGATACATATAAGGCCTTATAGTGGTGCCTGGCACATGGTAACTGCTCAGAAACAACATCCTCATTATGATTTATCCATGGTTTTGGAACACAGGTCCTTCCTTCTTCTATATTCAGCCCCACTGGACCACTTCTTGGGCATCAACAACCATCCTGTTTTAATTCTTCATCCCACAGACATTGAGAATTTTCCATCGTTGCCTCCTTTTCAGCGCCATCACCTCCTGTGCCTTGGGCTCCCAACCCCAGACCCTTCCTCGCAGTAAGTGCTAGCTTACTTTCCTTTTCCATTCTTCTGGGCGAGTTTGTTACCAGTTGCTACAGAGAATTAAAGATCAGGTTGACCTAAATGGCAAACAGTGAGAAAATTGTGAAAATACAAAAAATTCTCATCTACCATTCCTTGTGTATACAAAGATAATTATTTTTCCCAGGGAGAAAATAGAGATGTAAAAAGATGTGCAGTCACCCCCAGGAATCTTAGAATTAAAAAAAAAAAACAAAAAAAACTCTAGGGTCCAGCAGCCACTAGTGACCAGAGGCCGTGTGTCCAGCCTGTGGCCAGCACTCTTTCTCCTACGTCTTGGAGAATTCCAGGCAGGATTTCCGTGGAGTTTCTTCGAACTTTTCACCTGTGGGTGTTTCAGCTGCTGCTGTGAGGCCTGCAGGATCTCACGGTCACTCAGTTAACTTCTGCCAGGGCTGCCTTGCATTGCATCCTTCAATGGTTTCCCGTGGACCAAGCGTGGGTGTCTCTGCCACCACAGGAGAGCTGTCTCACAACAAAGCAAAGAGCACGTTGGAAGGGAATCAGTCAACAAGCACACGTCCTTGTTACCCCTTTCCTGTTCTTAGGTGTAAAGAGCGGGTACAAAAAGGAAAGAATTACGAGATAGAGTTAAGGTCAAGGAAGTTAGAAGAGCAGACGCTCTAGACCTGGTGGACGGTGCAGGTGGGAGTGGTTAAGGAGGTTAGGGGTGTGGCTGAGAAGGGGAGTGGTTAAAGAGGTTAGGGGGTGTGGCTGAGAAGGGGCGTGGTTAAGGAGGTTAGGGGTGCGGCTGAGAAGGAGTGGTTAAGGAGGTTAGGGGTGTGGCTGAGATGGGCGTGGTTAAGGAGGTTAGGGGTGTGGCTGAGATGGGCGTGGTTAAGGAGGTTAGGGGTGTGGTTGGGAAGGGGCGTGGCTAAGGGGGTTAGGGGTGTGGCTGAGAAGGAGTGGTTAAGGAGGTTAGGGGTGTGGTTGGGAAAGGGCGTGGTTATGGAAGTTAGGGGTGTGGCTGAGAAGGAAAGTAGGTTCAGAGGAAGGTGGTGCGCAGAGAATGTAGGTCAGGGAGAAGGGGGCAAGTTCCAGGCACGGGAGTGCAAAGTGAACATGGCAAGGTCACTGCCCCGCTAGGAGACCGCGCTAACCAGAGCAGAAGTCCTGCTGGGGAGGTGGAAAGGCGTCCCAACTAAGAGGACAGGACAAGTCTTGCAGACAGGAAAGGAAAATCATCCTCAGGTGTCTCCCTGAGTGATCTTGAGAGTGATGAGGGTGGGGAGTGATGAGTGGCGCCTGAGTGTTGGTAGAGGGGGAAGATCTAGCTGCCCTTTTCTTAGTGGACTGGAGAAATTAATTTATACAATTCTGTGGAATGCACATCATTTTTATATACATTTGCTCCCCCAGACTCTTTTTATCTTGTAAAATATGTCCCTTCCCCCTTGCTTTAGACTTGAACCTTGCCAATGGACCTGATTGGTTTTGGTTATGCAGCCCTGGTGACATTCGGAAGCATTTTGGGATATAAGCGGAGAGGTGAGGCCAAACCAGATTTTTCCTCAAAACGACCTGGTGGGAGGTTGTGCTGGGATCATCTGAGGAGTCTATAAATAGGACAGGAAGCTAATGAAGTCCTCAGGTGGCTGAGGACCAGCATTTGGTGGGAGGATTCGGGGAAGGAGGTGGGGTTCCCTGGGGCTGGGTGAACAGAGCCTGTCATTCCAGAGCCTGGGTGTCTGGGTCTCCCTTCATCTGTTAATATCAGTTGTATAATTAATTGACTTAACCTCCTCAGGGCTACTCATTTATTATCAGATGAGTTGTTTTTCTTTTAACATACTTGTAGTGTCAAAAGGGCTTCCTTTGTGGCTCAGGCTGGTAAAGAATCCGCCTCCAATGTGGGAGACCTGGGTTCGATCCTTGGGTTGGGAAGACACCCTGGAGAAGGGAACAGCTACCCACTCCAGTTTTCTGGCCTAGAGAATTCCATGGACTATATAGTCCATGGGGTCCCAAATGTGTCAAAAAACTGAATTACGTTGATATTGTGTGTGGCAACAGAAAATTTGTTCAATACTTAGTTATAATATCTGAAGTGGTCTCTTCATCTCTGTCCCAAGGTGGAGAAAACACCCAGTTGATAAAATAAAGGATTTCATGGAGAAAAAGATGAAAGGCCAAGTTTTCTATTTTACTTTGTTTTAAGGTAGATGCATTTATATAGTCACAGTGTCCCACATTTCTCTTTCTTATTTTTTTAAGAAATTCATAAAATGAAGCTATATTTTGAAGACTGTTTTATCAGTGACATTAAATTTCAGGTCTATATGGTTTTGAAGGTTACTTCTTTTAGTGATTTTTTTGAGGTGTAGGAAAAGGAGAGCGAGTGTGTGTGTGTGTGTGTGTGTGTGTTGGGGTTGCTGCAGGGTGTGGCAGGAAAGGGTTACTTTAGTTATAAGTTATAAGGCATCTTCTTCCACTTGTTGCCTGAAGAATTAAGCTAGAACCTAGTGCATGTCACTTTTGTTTCTGGATGGGTGTGTGTGTATGTGCATTGCTGTAATGGTTCTTAACCCTGCTGCAATCTGAATTTTCTGTAGATGTTTAAAAAACAGAGATGCCTTGTAACTGAATCACTTTGCTGTACACCAGTAACTAACACAACACTGTAATCAACTGTACTTCAATAAAAATAAATGATACATTTAAATCCCTTTCCCCCCAAAAAAACCCCAGAGGTGCCTTGACCCTAGAGATTACAATCTGATAGATTCTAAATAGAGTGAGTGCCCTGAAGTGGGGATGGTGTGTATTGGTCACAGTATCACTGGCATGTGCCCTCTTGCTCCCTACCCAGGGCACAGGAAGACCTCTCTGTCTGTCCCAGTGCCCGGGGCAATGCTGGGCAGGTACTGGGTGCAGAAGGGGATGGGTTGGCAGCTGGGATCAGTGACCAGATTTTTCCTGTTACTCATTGTCGTGATCCACCCCTGAGTCCTTATGTGTTGAGGCTGGAAGCTTTGTTAATTATTCAGGAGAGAACCACTGCTTGGTTTGCATAGGACCCTCTCTACCTCCATGAGTTGAAAACATCCTTTATCTTATTTTTATCATCACAAGCTGAGAGTGAAATAATAGAGGCAAAGAGAATAGGGGGAATAAAAGAGGGACATAAGGAAGTTAGATAATTGTCTAAGATCATGCAGTCGCCATTGGAAGCACGACGATAAGGCAGACTTTATCACCATACCCATCCCTCCCATTGCTGTGTTCTCGGGGTTCAGCATGAAATAGTCATTTCTTAGAAACTGTCCATGGATAGCTGACACCTGATTTGGCCTTGTGCAGTTACAGTGCCCAAGAAGAAACACATTTCTTCCACTTGTTGCTTATATCACACATTAAGTGATAAAGATATGTCTTCATTTGAGGATTTTCTATCTGAACCCTTACTTTTTTTTTCCCCCTCCAGGTGGTGTTCTGTCTCTGATTGCTGGTCTTTTTGTTGGGTTTTTGGCTGGCTATGGAGCTTACCGTGTCTCCAATGACAAGCGAGATGTAAAGCTGTCACTGTGTAAGGCATTTTTTTCCTGGTTATGCAAAATCAAAGCCTGGGGGTAGCTTTTTAATACCCAGCCCAAGTGACCTAGAAGATACCAGTCAGATGGCAGGTGGCAAAATGCTTGTATGGAGGTGGAAGACTATTCTTGTTCCTTTCTACACAGACCTGATCAAAAGTAATGATGTTGCTGCCAGGCCTCAGAGGAATATTTCTGTAAAGTTTGTTACTAGGAAGAAACAATAAAATTAGAAAAAATGAGGAATTATGTCTGAATTTTCTGCTAACCCTCCTAAATTCATGTTAGCATAGTTTATATTACTGTGAAAATATCTAAAAAAGACAGTCTTGGATTGTTTTATTGAATTCACAAACTGCTTTTAGATCCCACTTTGCCTTAAGATTTAACCTAGAAAAGCAAGGCTGGGACTTCCCTGACTGTCCAATGGTTAAGACTTTGCCTTCTAATGCAGGGGGTGTAGGTCTGAACTTCTGGGCAGGGCACTAGATCCCACATGCTGCAATTATGACCTGGCACAGCCAAATAAATAGATAAATATTTTTTAAAAAGATATATATATATTGGGCATTTTATTCATATGCACTTAAACAGTTAATATATGTTACTGCCAGTCATGTTGATTTGTGTATCAGCAAGTGATTTTGCCTTGAAAGTTGTTCTTAAATTGTGCTATCAATGGCCTCATCTCTTACATAGTCTCTGATCATAGTGGTTCAGCTCCTAAGACTGGTATGGTGCTTCTGAATTTAGTATTATTACTAGACTGTTGTTATATATTTCGTCTCCAGGCATTCATTTTCTCAAAATGGAATGCTACGAAATAAAGTCAGCCTTTTCCTACTATTATTTTAATAATCAAGTCTTGCTTTAAAGATTCGCTTTAGTAACTGATTCTTTTCCTTTCATTTGTTGGATGTCTCCTGTGAGTCTAGGCATACTGCCTAGTGTTCTGAGGAAACTTGAAACAGATACAGTCCTGGCCTTCCCAGGAGTGTTCTATAAATAGAAATTTAAGTTAGAAAAACACTTTTTCTTTTCAAGATATTTCAGTAATGGATTTTAACATGCTTGTTTACTCAGAAACCTTGTTGATTAGCTAATTTATAAAGTATTTTGACAGAACACTTTATCTTTTCAAGAACATAGCAAGTCAGTACCAACACATAATCATTGTTATATCAGAAAGCTAAAATCAAATCCCTCTGTTTCACAAGCAAGCACTGATAACATGTTTGAGGCCCTGGTTCAATGCACTGGTCTGTTTTTTAGTTACAGCTTTCTTCCTGGCCACCATAATGGGGGTGAGATTTAAGAGATCCAAGAAAATCATGCCAGCTGGACTGGTTGCAGGTTTAAGGTAAGAAAAACGTATTTTGATCTATTCTTTTCTCTGTTGTCATTTTGAAGTGCTGAATTTTGGGCAAAAGTCAGTTTTAATTTGAAAGGTCAAAGTAATTTTTATTACAGTCAGCATGACTGTAAAACCTTAAAACATCATCCGTTCAATCGCTGACATTTATGTGCCTGGGAATGTTTTTATCACATACACTTAGTGTTGCTGTAGTATCTGATCACATGTACACAATTACCGTTTTTCAGAATAAAGAATTAAAATCAGCCTCATTTTTTTCTCAGGATTTACCTATCTGAGACAGTAAGTGTATTCATTTAAATCTGATATCTCTCTTAGGGAGTTCGACAGTGATAGTCTCTCACAGTTATTTTGAGTTTTTAAGGGAGAAAACTTAATATTTTTTAAAAAGATAAACAGGGAGCTTCATGTTTCTCTTAATCTTAATTCTTTCCATGAGATTAAGCACATTCCCAAGTGAAAATTTGTGCATAACATTTTAAATTCTTCTTGGAAGCTGCCTTTATATGTTGAAAGCTGTCAATGTGTTCATCTTCTTTGATGTACGTTTTCACTTTTAACAATTTATGCTAAAGAAATAATGAGATGTATACAAAGACTGATGTTTATTGCAACTCTGTGTCTAGTTGAAGACATGATGAACTGAAAAATTAGAAACAGCTTGAAAATTCACCAGTAAGGAAATGGTTCAATAATTGTTTTGTCCATTTAGTAGAATATTGAGCAAGTATTGCATCTCGTGTTTTCAAAAACCATTTAGTGATGTTTGAAAATATCAATGAAAAAATAGGAGATGAAAACAGAATAAACAACCAAATATAGTGTGATCTCAATTTTTTGAAAGTCTGTGTATAAACAAGATAGGAAGGAAATTCTTCAAATACTTCATATTAATAATCTCTAGGTGGTAATGGAATGAGAAATTTTCTGCTTTCTACTTTTCAATAGAATTTTCTAGCATGGCTGGATATAGTGTTTACGATTTGGGAACGAAAGCGTGATTATACAGGGCTGATTTCTAATGAGAGTCCTGTTCTAATAATGATACTTGGTGGTGGAAAGTCAAAGTAGGATTTACAGGTTAAAAAGACAAGACTCCAAGCTTGGAAAGTAGCTGAGATTGTAATAATGGCATAAAATTGCCCCTTGATGAGTTTTTCAAGCTCCTTGCCTTTACTAACTATTGAAAATTGTGTTTTCTAACCTTTCTCTTACGAAAGTTCAGCCCAGATTTTCAGAACATTGAATTCTGATTTTTCTCCTTCACTTAGTGAACATTTTTTAAGTGGCCAGTTCAGTCACATCTTGGAAGTTCAGGTACAGGGATCCTGAGAGTGTCTCTGGCCCAGGGAGTAGCAGCAGAGATGCACCCTGGAAGCCAGGGTCTAGTACCACACGTTTGGTGGGCACGTGAGCCTTCTCTCACCTCCTGAGTCACCTCCCCTTGCCTGTCTTTTATTTTAATCCAGCCTCTTGATGATCCTGAGACTTGTCTTACTGCTGCTTTGAGAATCCAGAGGAAGTGAAAACTAAATCTGAGTCATTCTGCTGTAACGGGCAGAAGCCCACTGTTTGTATTGAAAAGATAAATTCCAGTATGGGATGTTCGATGTGGTCTTATTTTATGCTGGAAACTGCCTGAGAAACACTGTTGCCTCTAATAAGGACATTAGTTTGAGGGATTTTTGTTTTTTTTAAATAAATAGTTTAACTGTTTTCCAATTGTTAGATTCTGATTTCACTAAAGATATTTTCATGAAATTGTGATGTACTCTTTGATTCTTTTTTATGTCATGTTTTATAGATGGTGGTTCCTAACACTCATGTCTGGAATATGTTTAAATTATAAACTAACTTATCAGATGATGGAACGCCCTAATTGGGCTTCACGGAATGCTCTTGTATCTATTTGTCATTTGTGTTATATTCGATTTTTTTTCCATTTTAATTGTATTTCTGCCTGTGGTTTTTTTTTTTTCTTTAATAAACTTCATCCCCAGCACACTCTGTGCAAATAGAATGTATTCAGTATTCAAATAAAAGACCTGTTTTAAACCTGTTTCTCTCATTTTAAAGTCTTCTCTATATCCTCATCATCTTTGATAGTATTTTTCTCAAGGATTCTATTCTACTCCCTTTATAATAACAGAAAATAAATAAAAGTTTAAATGTTTACAATTTGGAATAATAAAAAATATTAAGAAAATATACTGATACAGGACTCCCTGATTGTCATTCTTTAATTGTAATTCTTTTATGTTAAATAGTGTTAGGGCATCAGATCACCCTCATTCTATACCGTGAAGATCAACTACAATTAATTAACTACAATTCTCAAAACCAAGAGCAAGAAACATCTCTATTCCCAGGGAATCCTACCATTTTCAGAAGACAAGACAGATGCCTTCTCCTTATTCACTTACAAAATATTTTCAATATTATTGCATAAGTTATAGGAACTCATTGTAGACAAATTAGAAAATATGGATAAGCTAAAAACATTTGTCCTCCTTACTGGCCTTTTTTCTCAGATTGAGCAGGTAGGTGTTTAGTAGATCTGTACTTTTCCTTGTGGCTATATCTTAATGAGTAGAAACATGGCATTCGCAAGGTAGAAATTGGGCACTTAACTACCTTTAAAAAGAATCCTGTGTAAGAGTGGAGTGTGTATGAGGGCCTCTCTTCTTTTTTCCCCTCTACTCTTTGTTTTTACAAAATAAGTTCTCTTTCACACTACTATATATAAAATAGGTAACCAACAAATACCTACTGTATAGCACAGGAACTATATTCAGTATTTTGTAATAACCTGTGATGGAAAAGAATCTAAAAAAAGATAGATAACTGAATCACTTTGCTGTATAACCGAAACTAACACAACATTGTAAATCAACTATATTTCAATAAGTTTTTTAAGAAAAACAAAAACAACCCCAAATAAGTTATCTCTGGGTCTGCTCATAATGCCCAGTATGAAGGCTTTCTCTCCACCTCCTCGTCTTCTGTGTCCCCAAACTTTCTCACTTCAGACAGTTGGTGGTGGGGATTCCCCTCTTTCTCACATATTATCACCAGCAAAAGAAAAAAAAGGGGGGGGGTGGGGACAACTGACATAATCACCTTGGTGCTCTTCTCCAAGCCTTCGTTTGATTCTTAGGAAGCCCAGAGACATTAAGTGATTTTCCTAAAGTCCCTCAGCTAAAGGGTGGGAAGGACCAGGGCTGGGATTTCTTCTTTCCAAGCCCACCACCTTCTGGATACTCTTATCTTGCTGCTGCTGCTGCTGCTGCTGAGTCGCTTTAGTCGTGTCTGAATCTGTGTGATCCCATAGACGGTAGCCCACCAGGCTCCCCCATCCCTGGGATTCTCCAGGCAAGAACACTGGAGTGGGTTGCCATTTCCTTCTCCAGTGCATGAAAGTGAAAAGTGAAAGTGAAGTCGCTCAGTCATGTCTGACTCCTAGTGACAGCCTACCAGGCTCCCCCATCCCTGGGATTCTCCAGGCAAGAACACTGGAGTGGGTTGCCATTTCCTTCTCCAGTGCATGAAAGTGAAAAGTGAAAGTGAAGTCGCTCAGTCATGTCTGACTCCTAGTGACAGCCTACCAGGCTCCTCCATCCATGGGATTTTCCAGGCAAGAGTACTGGAGTGGGTTGCCATTGCCTTCTCTGACTCTAATCTTAGCAAATGTCTAATCTGTATTTAACTACTTTTGATAGGAAGAAGACATGTTCCAAAATTAATAACAAAGACAAGAATATAGATAGGGGTAACCAAAATAAACCAAAGCTTCCCCCAAAGCATTTTCCCTTAAATTTAAAGATTACTTGTGACTTTTATGAAGTGTGATTTGAAAAAAAAAAAAGCATATGTTCCTGATTTCAATTTCTCCTAAAATTTCTCATGTCGGGAACTGCAGGCTAATTTTTTGCTGTCTGGTTTGCCAAGGCTCCAGAAGCTCCTAGACTGGAGCCCAGTCTAAAATTCCAATGAGGGCATTCTTGTTACCTTGTTAGGCCTTGCGGGCAGCTGGGGAAGAGGGGAGAGGGCAGCTGTGAACCCCGCCTGGCCCAGGGGTGCACAGTCTGGGTGGGGCCATGAAACATTCTGAGATGCATCAAAAGTCCAAATAGATACCATCGAAAGAATTTTCTGGTATATTAAGATTGAGTTTCTCCAGATTACACAGAAAAGTTTTCCCAGCAGAACTTTGTTTTACAAAAATGATGTGGTTTTTTTAATGTGCTTACAGGCTTACTATGTGAAGGCTTACTATCTGCAGGGGCTCCAAAGATAAAGTGCAGCTGTTTCGGCAAAGTTGTATATGCTAGAGCATGATGATTTAACTTCTGAAAATTTGCCAAGACTCACATTGTAAGGGAAATTTGGGCACAGAAGGTGAATATTGACTAGGAACTTTCTTCTAACCCTGGCCGGCTCGGATGGTGCCAACGCTGAAAATAAAAACCATGAGGAAATCAGAAGACCCATGAAGAGCATCACATAGCTCAGATTTGGCCCTTCCCCGATTTGAAAAAATTAGGTCATCAGAAGAAGAAGTGACAAGTTAAACACTATTTTTAATACTAAGCAGTATTTTTTACTGTTTCTTAACATTAAGAAACAGTTGCCTGTTTCTTAACATTCTTGAGACACAGTTATGATAAGCATTGTGTCCCTTTTTTCCTTCCCTCCTCCCTTCCTTCCTTTGTTAAAATCGCTGTTTGCACCACCTTGGATAAGCTCAGTATCAACAACCAGTTACCACAGACTTTGGGCACTTATTTAAAAACACTGAGTCATTCATTCACAGCTCAACATTTAAAGAATAGGTGGTAAAAACTGCTTTTTGTTTGGGTATCAAATAGTTTTCTACAACTGCTCTCTAAGTAAGTGCTTAATAACCCCCTGAGATCAAAGTCATTTTCCTATGCTGTTACGATTTTTTTTTTGGCCGCATTACAGCATGTGGGATCTTAGTTCCCAACAGAGATTTAACCCATGTCCTCTGCATTGGAAGCACAAAAGTGCGGAATCTCAACCACTGGATTGCCAGGGAATTCTCAGCCCCCATCCTTTGAATACATTTACAATTCATTTATTTTACAAGTTTTACAAATTATACCAGCATACTTGTCCATGAAACTCCAGAAAGCTAACGAGTCTAGTTGAGTTGGCAAATCCACACTCTGACTGGTTTTCAGTTTTCTCTTCATCCTTTTTTTGGTGCAGAAGCAGATGAGTTTTTTCTTCTTCAGTTCAAGCTATGCTTTCAAATAGCTACAGTGTGAAATTATACCTCCTAAAATACTGTATCATCTGGCAAAAGTTTATGGAATAAAGCCAGACATTGGATTCTCACTTCATTTAGAATAAGATCCAAATTCCTTGACAGGACTGAAGGAGCATGTCATCTGCCATCTGTCGCCCCTTCTCATTCCACAAGTGGCTCAGATGGTAAAGAATCTGCCTGCGATGCAAGATACCCGGGTTCAATCCCTGGGTCGGGAAGACCCTCTGGAGAAGGATATGGCTAAACCCACTCCAGTATTCTTGTCTGGGGAATTCTATGGACAAAGGAGTCTGGCAGGCTACAGCCCATGGGGTCACAAAGAGTCGGACATGACTGAGCAACTAACCCTTTCTTTTTCGTGCTGGAAGCCACCCCCTGCCCTTCAGTCATGCCTCCTTTGGCTTGGGGGTACCAAACACTGCTTTCCACTCCAGGGCTTTGAAGATGCTGGTGTGTCCATCTGGAACTGTCTTGCCCAACTCCTTGCCTGTCTGCCTCTTTCTTACATTGTGTCTCAGTTTAAATGTCACCTCCCCAGAGTGGCTTTCCCTCACTACCCATCTAAAGTAGAGCTCCCCCGCCTTCCCTGGTGGTCCAGTGGCTGAGACTCCACGTTCCCAACGTAGGGGGCCTGGGTTCAATTCCTGGTCAGGGAACGAGATTCCACATGCTACAACTAAGACCCAGCACAGCCAAATAAATAAATACATAACAACAAAAAAATAAAAGAATAAAAGTAGAGCTCTCACCGGACAAAGGGTACAAACTTTCAGTGATAGGATAAGTTCTGAGGATCTAATGTATAACATGGTGGCCCTAGTTGGTAACACGTGTGTTAGTTGCTCAGTGGTATCTGACTCTCTGCGGCCCCATGGACTGTAGCCCACCAGGTTCCTCTGTCCATGAAATTCTCCTGGTGAGGGGGTTGCCATTTCCTTCTCCATGGTAGCATTATATTATATTTTTTAAAAGTAAATATGAAAAAATAAAAATAAAAAGTAAATATGTATGGTGATGATGGATGTGTTAATTAATTTGGTGGGGGCAACCATCTCATGATGTATATCAAACATTTAAAAAATACTGTACAATTTCATTTGTCAATTATACTTCATTAAAGCAGGAAAAGATAAAGCAGAACTCTGCCCTCGCCTCCCCCTGCAACCCGTCTCTGGGACAGACCCTGTTTAATTTGCTTCACATCCCTATCATGCCGCTCTTGGGCCTCATCCTGGTTGCCCTGCCACATGCTGCATTTCTGCCCAACGTCAGACACTGGCGCCTTTTCAGAGCCTTCTTCACAAGCCTGAGCTCCGGATGGGGGAGGGCTGTCACTGATAACGTGTTATTTATTTTGTGAAAATTCTGACCTTTTGAAATGAAGCAGGATTGGATGGGATTCGTGTGACAGCATGTTGGCAAGGAAGGCGTGTGAATCACAAAACTAAGAAAGGGAGCGGTTCGGACAATGTCAGTGCTAGAGTGATGGAGGGCGGGGGTCTGGCAGAAAGTTGCTGATAGAAGAAGAGACAGAGCTTGGATCTGCAGTGAAGACATCAAAGAGGATAGATATGAGGAAAGACTTTTGAACTATTAGAACTAATACGGTGATTAGTTCATTCGGTAAGAAACCAAAGCTCAGGACTTTGGAGAGGCGTCAAGTCAGAGTCAAGACTCCTTGAGTTTTGGAGGTGACGGGAAAGAGGGAAGGAAGTAAACGGAAAACCAGCCAGGGACGAAAGAGGACTTTTTGGATTTGTTTTGGAGTGCTTGTTGTTGCTGTTGGTTTTAAGGGGTGGAGATGTAGGTGGCTAAGGGGTGTAGGACAGGAGAGACCAAAGCCTGACTGTAATTAGATGACAACTTCACAGAAGAAAGAGAGGCAGCCTGGGGGGAAGAGAGAAATTGTCCAGAATGACCATCACAGGATAGATTTGTGGGGTTTTACTTGCCTCGTTTAGTCTTAGCATCATATTTGAGGGTATAATTGCCATATAATAAACGGCACATACTTTAAGTGTAACATGTGTGTGTTGGTCAGTCATGTCTGACTCTTCGTGATTCATGGACTGTAGCCTGCCAGGCTCTTCTGTCCATGAAATTCTCCAGGCAAGAATACTGGAGTGGGTTGCCATTCCCTTCTCCCAGGGGTCTTCCTGACCCAGGGATTCAACCCTGGTCTCCTGCCTTGCAGGCAGATTCTTTACCATCTGAGCTACCAGGGAAGTCCAAGTGTTGACAGGTATACACCCACGAAAGAATCATAATCAATATGGTGAACATAGTATGTCCTATGCCCTTGGACTGTCTTCTCCCTGCTCCTCCCCTACTGTTACTTTCTTGCCAAGATAAACTAGTTTGCATTTTCCAGAACTGTATATAAATAGAACTGTACAAGTAATTTTGTTTTTGTTTTTTGGTCTAATTTCTTCCACTCAGTGTATCATTTTGAAATCCAACTATGTTGTTGGGTGTATTCATTCTTGTTTATTGCAAAGTAGTTGTGTTAGTTTTCTGTGGCCATTGTAACAGATGACCACACATTGGGTGGCTTTAAACAAGAGAAATTTATTCCTTCTGGAGGCCTGAAATCAAGGTGTGGACAAGGTTGGTTCGTTTTGAAGGCTCTGAGGAAGAATCCGTTCCATGATGCTCTTCTCCCTGCCAGCAGTCCTTGGGGTTCCTTGGCTTGTGGAAGCATCACCCTGATCTGTATCATAGAAGCGGAGGATGGAAAAGGACATGGAACAGAAGGACTTATGGAAGAAGGTGAAGAGATGAGGGCATAAGAAAAGTGTCAAGGGAAAAAAAAAGAAAGAAAAGTGTCAAGGGGAAGAGGGGACAACGCTCCCACTTAGCCTTCCATCAGCAGTTTTAGTTTCTCTTGGGAGCAGTGTATGTGGATTTACGACTTTTTAAAATTTGTATTTATTTATTTTAATTGGAGGATAATTACAATATTGTGATGGTTTTTGCTGTATATCAATATGAATCGGCTAGAGGTATACATGTGTTTCCCCCCATCCTGGACCCCCCTCCCACCTCCCTCCCCTCCCTACCCCTCTGGGTTGTCCCAGAGCACAGGCTTCAGAAAAAAGCAATTTTTCTGTTCCAGCAAGCTGATTGCTCTCAACTGAAGAGGCCCCACCTACCGTGAGCAGTGAGTCTGGCGGATGCCACGGCTGAACACTAGGTGGCGCACTTGCACTCCCTGGGGTCTGGCATCCTAGGGCTTTAGGAACCTCTGCGGCTGGGACACCCGCTTCTGCTGTTCGTGGGTGACTTCCCACATTTACAAATAAAGCTGAGCCTAACCCTCCCTTTCTGTCCTAGATCTCTATTATCCCACTCTTCTGCCTTTTGCGGCGCGAGCCTTCTCCAAAGGGCTGTCAATGGCTGCCGTCTTTACATCAAACTTCCCATGAGAACCTGCCCCCGACCCCCGCCCGCCCCACCGTCAGACGTCTGTCTCAGCACCCCGCTGCCTGCCGTCTTCAGTCTCCAGCGGTGTGACGCCACACTCCCCTGCCTCACAGATGCCTCCTCCTCAGACTCCTTGGCTGGCCCCGTCCCTTCTAGGCCATCTCCTCAATCTATCACGGCCCTTGGAACCAGGACTTCCAACGCCAGGTCATAGATATTGCTGTTTCAGTCTTGGTCTTTCCTGGACGGCTTACTCTGGGGGAAGTTAGCGGATCCAGCATGAGGACACTCAAGCAGCCCCATGAAGAGGTGGACAAGGAGGTCTTTGCCAGCAGCTGTGAGTGAACCATGTTGGCAGTGGATCCCCCATCCCCAGTCAAGCTTTCAGATGAGTGCAGACCCTGCTGAGGGCTTGCCTACAGCCTCCTGGGAGATCCCGACCCACAATCACCCAACTAAGCTGCTACCAGATCCCTGACCCTCAGAAATTGTCTCAGGTAATAACCGGTCAGCTCAACATCACGAAACTTTGGGGGTGATTTGTTATGTAGCAGGAGATAACAGACACACCCATGCCTATCTGACCTCATCTTGCGTACTTTCTCACCATGCCTCCCACCACGCTTGCCTGCCTCCTGTGCCTGGAATACACCAAAGTTGTTCCGGACCAAGGCCCTGGTCCCTCTTGTTCAGATCCTGTTACCCTGGGTCTTCTCATGCTGGCTTTTTCCTGTCAGTAAGGACTTAGTCTGCTCTGACCACTCCTTTAGAGTTAACCATCGCCCCATCACCATCCGTCACATTGCTCTTTTATTTTCCTTATATAATAGCATTTGTCATTAAGCATACTTAACTTTTAAAATTTATTTATTTATTCATTATCTGAGCAGGAAAATGCTCTAATATGTACCATAGTAGCTTTTGTGCCTTGAAAGATCAAAGAAACAAAATAGGTGCTCAGTAAACATTCACTAAACAAAACAATGAATAAAAGCTTTAAAATATGGTTTATTGGAATCATCATCCTTAAGAAGATTTTATCAATTCCTGAGTCAAAATCTAAATTTTTTAAAATGGGGTATGTTTGTCTGGTCTGTTGCCTTAGAATGTTGCAACTATGTTGAAAGCTTCAAAGGACAACATATTCAAACAAAGCTGTAGAGTGCAGAGGGGAAGTGATCAAAGACTGTGGGGATCATAGTCAACACAAATTAACCTTGTGCTGACGCACAGCTGCCGTGTCCAAGCAGCTCTGGTTAGAAGAATGTTTCTGATACATATTTGTTCTTCCAGAAGATTTTGGAAAATTGACAAGTTGCTATATATAATGGGCTTCCCTGATGGCTCAGATGGTAAAGAACCTCCTGCAATGCAGACGACCAGGGTTTGATCCCTGGGTCGGGAAGATCCCCTGGAGAAGGAAATGGCAACTCACTCCAGTATTCTTGCCTGGGAAAGCCCATGGACAGAGGAGCCTGGTGGGCTACAGTCCATGTGGTTGCAAAGAGTTGGACACGACTGAGCTATGAACACAACACTATTTATAATAGCTCAAATCTTGATCCAATCCCCCCAAGACATTCAGAGTAATATCTACTTACATTTATATAAATATAAATATGTATTAAAATATATTTTTTAAATGTGTATGTAAATACACACACATATGTAGTATATCTCCATGAAAATGAAAATGCTGGATGATGTAGGGATCAAAGACCAAATGCAAATAATTTTGTAACAGATCTTTTTGTGTCCCAGGAATGATACTCAACAGGCATGGTGTTGGATGAGAATTGCCCATTTTGTTGTTTCTCTTACTAATGTAACCTCCTTGACGACAGGGACTATATCTGGTTTGTTTATCCTTAGTTATCATGTTCATGGAATACTGAATGTTCCATATTAGATATAAATTAAAGATTGCATAACTGAATAGAAAAAGGGGTTGATAACGTGAAGGAAAGAGGCTGTCTGAAAAACAAAAGAAAAGGTTTAGGTTATGAATCAGAAGGGCAGCAAAATGCAAAAAGAAAAGGCTATTTTTGTGACACCAAGCACATCAGATGAAAATTTCTACTTGACTCACTTTGACAGTGTTAGCTGGTATATGCATAACTTTTTTGAACAGATCAAACAGTCCATGATACTTTTTCTCCCTTTATTTATGTTTAGGCCTGAAACACATTCTGGGAGGAGATCATGATTTTATACGTGATCAAAACAAAATAGATTGTTTTGCAACTAAATCTGCATTCTAATTAAATCATCAACTATACTTTGAAAAAGTTTATTAGTTCCACAATAGCCACGATCTACATTTAGGTAAAGCACTTCATTGCTGGAGAACTTCAGAAGAGTGACCCTGCATGTCATGGGCAGCCCTGCCTGCTTTATTTAATCCTGAAAATCCTCTTTGCTTCTTCCAATTTTTTCTCATCCATGGGAGGCTTCCTCTGGCTGCCAGGCTGCAGAAACTTCTTCACGGCCGGGAGATTGCTGACTCTGGTTTTCAGGCCCTGCAACCCACAAGAGCACAGGTCAGAGTGCAGATAAAGACCAGCCCCATCACTGACACAAGCCAGCAGGGACCCCAAGACCCTCCTAGACAAGGGCCACCAAGGCCCCTCCATCAGCACGAGCAGGAGACTGGACACAGACACCCAGTGAGACGGGAAGATGACAGCCCGATAGCGTTTCCCCCAGAGATGTCTTAGTGCGAGACTCCATTCAACTTCCTGAACTTCCTACTTATCAGTCCTGCAGGTTCACCCTCGAGTGCAGTATGAGGAAAAGAAATGTGTCAGATATCAAGACAGGAAAATGAAAATATAGGGAAATGGGGCTGGAAGTAAAGACAGAAAATATGAATGGTAATCCGTGAGGCAAGTCAGAACCAATCTGCTCTAAGCGGGGGAGAGAGACAGGCAGAGAGAGACCAGCATGTGAGAGAAGGAACAGGAGCTGAGGGGAGGAAATGACACAGTGTGGACCCTAGCATCCCAGTCCCATGGTCCAGAGAGAAGATGCCGAGGTGGGGGGTGTGGCTGGCCCCCCAGGGCCGTGGGAGAGCTCACCTTCAGCAGAGGGAAGTTGGCCAGAAGGCTGGGGTCCAGCTCTTCCACATAGTAGAGCAGTTCAACCAGGTGGATGTCAGCCTTGCTCAGCTTGTTGCCCACAAGATAGTCTTGTCCATGGCTCTTCAGCACCTGGCGAATGGAGGGGTCAGATCAGGAGCACAGGTCCTGGCAGGCTGGACCCTGCTCCTCCCCTGCCCCCCACCCAGACCCACGTCCGCCTCTGCCCCTCACTGGGTGGGTGGGGACCTCAGACCTTCTGCTCCCCCTGACACATAAGCAACAAATTAATACTTGTGAAGTTAATGAAAGAATGATTTAAATTTTATAAAGATGACAGTGTTGGTGTTAAGCTTTTTATTTACATGTAAGCCTCCTGTATCTCTTACAATCATTTTTTTTTCAGTTTGTGATTTCTGTTTAGCATGCTTTAAGGTAGTCTAATCATGAAATGTTCTTCTCTTACATTTAAAGAGAAACATTGCTATGAAGATGTATACTAGGTGTGATGATGGAACATTAATTTCTTGGTTTTGTATGACTTTCTTTAAAAGTCTGAGAGCCATGTCCCCAAAATTTGTAGATTTTTTTCTCCTGAATAACTTTTCCTCTGTCTTTTCTTCTCCACCCCACCACCCCCATATCTGTTTAGATATGTCTCATCCACATTAGTATTCAGATAGTCTCACAGAGGTGAAGGTCAATGCCCTAGCAATGCCAAGCACTATTTCCCTTTGTCCTCTGATCTCAATGTCAAAAATACTGAACAGTCCACTCACTTTTTCAAATGCAGGGAGATAACAGTTTGTTGTCTTCTCTTTGATCTGAGCTATTTTGGCATCTTTTTGATCAGGTGGGCACAGTGGCAAAAGCATGATCATGTCACCCAAATCTGCCACACCCTCTGAGTACATATCAATCCTGAAAAGACAAAATGACCAAATTGTCAGATATCTCCTGCCTTAGGTTTTACACTTTAGAAGGGCTAAGAGTAGGGCATCAAGAAATAGCAAAGTGATTCACCTCCATTGGGTGCATCTTTCTATGCCAGTCATACAGTTACGATTTTTAAAAATTAATTTTAACATTTCATTCCAAAACAAATCATCTAGATAGATATATATGTCTAATCTTTTTGTTATACACATGGCCAAATATAGGAAGAGCATATTAGTGACCCATCCAGAGTCACAAGAATGAAAGAAAAGGGTGGAATCAGGGCGGGTAACCACGAGACCACACTTGGGTTTGCCATCTCTGCTGTGGTGTGGTCTGTCCACAGTTAGTGTGACGCATTAGTACCACCTCAGTCATATCGAGAGAGAATCCTGGCACCACCGCCCCTGTCACATCCTTTTCCCTCTCTTGTCCTGTTATAACACAAGGCTCATTTAGCTGCCCAATACCAGCACTTCTTCCAGTTACTTCACATAGAATATGGTTTCACAATGCTCTCCATATACTGTTGCTCGACTCTGGCTTTGTCTGCATTTCTCAAGATTCTACCCAAAGTATCCCCTGCAATAGTGCATTTCTTCATTCTGTTCTCACAGTGCATATTCCAGGTAATTTTGTTGTTTTTCTTCCAAAGATGGTTTCCTGCAAGAGTGTTCTCAAGTAAAAGCTTTGTTGAAATATAATTCACATACCAGAGTGTCACCCTTTTCTAGTGTAAAACTGTTGAAAGTCTCAGGATTCTGTACCATCATCATACTCTAATTCTAAAATATTAATATTTTCATCCCTCCCAAAAGAGATGCTGAGTTTTTGTTTTTTTTTTTTTTTTTTTCAGGCATTCAACATTCCTTCCTCTCTCCAGCTTTGGCAGTCACTAAACTGCTTTTGGTTTTATAACCAGGAATGTCCTGAATGTGCCAGACAAAGGAAATCCTACAATATGTATTGTTTGGGTCTGGTTTCTTTCTATAAGAGAATGTTTTCAAGTTCCATCCATGTTGTAGCATGGATCAGGACTTCATTTCTTTTTGTGGTCACATAGTATTCCATCGTGTGGATATGCCTGCCTTTGTTCATCCATTCACTAGTTAATGGACATTTGTGTTGTTTCCGCTTTTTGAACATTATGAACAACGCCTCTATGAACTTCTGTGTACAAGTTTTAGTGTGATTGTATTTTTAGTTCTCGGGTATATTCCTAGTAGAGGATTGCTGAGTTGTATGGTAACTCTATGTATAATTTTTTGAGTAACTGCCACATTTCATGATTCAATCATATGGTCCCATCACAACACAGAGGAGGTGCCCCCCAAATATGGCTGCAATGAATAAGTCAGGCTGCTACATGTGAAGTGTTAGTTGTTCGGTTGTGCCTGGCTTTGCGACCCCATGGACTGCAGCCCACCAGGCTCCTCTGTCCACAGGATTTTCCAGGCAAGGATATTGGAGTGGGCTGCCATTTCCTTCTCCAGGGGATCTTCCTGACCCAGGGATAGAACCCAGGTCTCCTGCACTGTAGGCATTCTTTACCAACAGAGCTATGAGGGAAGCCTCTGGCTGCTATAGACATATTCAAATGTTCCAGATAACACTAGCATCTTGGGCTCAATATCTGCTAACCTTTGTCAAGCAACCAGTTCATATAAAAGACTGATAAATCAGGTTCCTGGTCATCATTCTTATAACTTCTGGAACTTAAAAATCATCTCCTCTAGAGCCTTCCCTTCTAAGGCTTTATCCTCTAGACACTCAGATATTTTGTCCCTTGTCTCTAACTGTTGGCGGGTGTTAAGCTCAAAACGGACTGAGCTTCTGGTATCATGGTTCCACCATCCTTTCAGCTTCATAGCCCATCTGTGTTTGGAGACCTCTGTCACCGTTCTATATCCATGATCCACATCCTCTTACATAAATATATTAAAATGAATTTATTTAATTTATTTATATGACTGTGCTGTGTCTTAGTTGTGGCATGTGGGAACTTTTAGTTGCAGCGTGTGGAATCCAGCTGCCTGACCAGGGATCGAACCTGAGTCCCCAGCATTGGGAATGCAGAGTCTCAGCCATGGACCACCAGGGAAGTCCTACGTAAATTCTTGGTTCCAATCCAAGTTTACTCTTCCCTCACCCTCATAGGTTTCTGTAGTACTGGACCTCAGTTACACCATGAAGGTGTATACTGCTGTTGGTCATGATCTCTGTGAGCACATCCTGCTCACTCAGGGAAGCACCTAAATTGTTCCTATTAATCACAGATGAAAGAACAGAAAAAAGATATCGTACAGGGCTCTCTCCTTCATGTCTTTCCCATAGAGGTTGTATTTGGTGGCAACATAGTTGAGAATGGCTCTGGTCTGCACCAGCTTCATCCCATCAATTTCAACCATTGGTACTTGCTGGAACATCAAACTCCCATCTTTTGAAAGAAGAAAAGAAATAGAGTGAGATGTTGGATGAGCCACGCTGTTTAATTAAACTGAAATTTTTTATGAATCAAAAATTTTGTTGAAATGACTGAAAACATAAAAGGAAACAAAAATGTTTACTTGGTAAAATATCAGTGGAAATAACATTTTACTTTTAGCTTCCTGTAGTCCTTCCTATCAATTTCCCTCTTCCTTTTCAATCTGTCATTTCATTTCACTTTTTATTTCCCATCCAGATCATGGTATGTGTCTTTATTTTATGTATTTGACTTGCCTTCATGGATTTTTTAGGAACGATATAGGAGAGGTTCTATTAGCCAGTTGCCAAGTCAAATGAGATATTTCTAAAGGAAGCTTCCTGTGGTTCATGGCATTAAGGGCAGTTCTAAGAGAGACTCCTACATATGGTGTTTTGTATGCTCATCAAATCCCACCACCAGACAGTGCACGGGGCCGCCCTCTTTTTCCAACTCTATTGCTGCTGGCCCTTGTGCTTTATCTCCCTCCTCACACGCTCACCTGGACTTCAAACCATTTCAACACCAGTTGGTTATTTGAGTCTGCAATATTGCTATGATATTACCTTTTCAAACCCATTAACAAAAAGGACTCATGGCAACAGCTGGGCCTCTTTCTCTTCTCTTCTCTCTGATGCGTGTGTTTTCCTGACTGTGGGTGGGAGGGCTGTGTGGCATCCTGAACTGATACGGTCACTCACAGTGCAGAAAGGCAGAGAGAGCCCAGAGAGGGCATTCACGGGGCACCGGGGCTGGCTCCTTTAGCAAATACTCGAGTTCCAGCCCTTCTAAGTCCTGGGTGAGCTGCAAGACCTCCTCAAGGAGCCCCAGCCCTTACCTTTAACCACGTTTCTCCCACTCCCCTGATGCACACCCACCATGCACACACATGGCATTGCTAATGTTCTAACCTCAACTGAAGACTTCTACTAGATACTGCCATCAGAGGAATTTAGTTCTTGGTCTTACCATTTTTTAACTTATCCAGGTCTTCTGGTTGTTCTATAAATTTCTCTTCAAACTGAAAAACAGAAACAGTCAATGAGTCTCTGTTATTTCCTTCCATAGCATTCATTGCTGAACTTGAATGTCCCCTGTCTGGTGCTATGTTGAGGATAAGATTTCCAAGTTTGGCAGAGGACAATGATTGTGGCTAGAGCCACCAAGATAAAAGTGTGGGTTGCAACACATAACTGCTCATTTTGCCGGTTCAGTTCCCCTCCACACTGTCTCCATCTCTGTCAATCATTAGACATGATTTGGGAGGAGGATGTCAATGGAGGGAATGGATGGCAAGTCCTAGTTATGGAGTTTTAATATCTCTGGAAAGCCTTTCTCTTCCTATAAGGTCAGGACAGGGTATTGTGTGTCCCCCAGCATGGAGTATCCATGGGGTCGGTGACCCACAAGGTGTCACCAGGGGCCTCTGATGTATATTACCTCCTTCCATTCAAGTTTATATTTTAAAAGGGGTCTTGATGGTGAGGGACTTCCCTCATGGCTCAGACAGTAAAGAATCCACCTGCAATGCAGGAGACCTGGGTTCAATCCCTGGGTCGGGAAAATCCCCTGGAGAAGGGAATGGCAACCCACCCCAGTATCCTTGCCTGGAGAATCCCATGGACAGAGGAGCCTGGTGGGCTACAGTCCGTGGGGTTGCAAAGAGTCAGATATGACTGAACAGCTTTTATGTGTAGATTCTTGATGGTGAAGAGTTTGGGAATTGGGAGTTTCTAACTTGCTAAACAGTTTATTGTGGATCTTCATGAACTCACAGGGTCAGTCTGTACAGTCTACATCTCCCTCCGTCAGGCTGGGCTGGACAAGAGGAAGCCTGGATGCTCTCAGCATCTCAGCACCCTCCTATGCTGAACTTATCCTGCCCAGGAACTCTGAACACATCCCTGAACCCCAAGGCTGGACCGCAGTGAAAACTGTTGGTTGTTGATTATCAGAAATTAAACAGCCTAGAATGGCACTGTTTGAATTTTTTTGTGTACTTGTTTCTTCACACACTTGAGAATGGATCAAGCATGAAGCAATGGAGAAAGTGTTATCTGAGGCTTAGGTAAACATGTTGTTAGGAAGCTAAGGGAGCACACTAGAGATTCCCTTCGCAGAACCATGCCTCACCTGAAGCCCTCCTTTTCTGCTCTCCCTTAGGGGACCAATCTCCAGAGTCTGACCAGGACTCCCTCCCGAGGGAACCCTCACAGAGTTGCTGGGTCCCTCTGACCTGGGCTGAGAAGTGCTTTTCTCAGTGACACGTCTAGGGGGCAGCAGGCAACAGAGTCCCACAGAAACCTACAAATTTGCTGCTGGGAATATGGCATTGTAACTCTAAAATGTTTGCATGTCCTTCTAGGTGCTCCCACCCCGCATTTAATCACTCATCTCCTTGTCTGCATCCTCATAGAGTGTAAGATGCCCAAGGGCAGGAACTGCATCTGTTTCATTTATTCCTGTATCCATTCAGTTCAGTTCAGTTGCTCAGTCGTGTCCAACTCTGAGACCCCATTGACTGCAGCATGCTAGGCCTCCCTGTCCATCACCAGGTCCCGGAGTTTACTCAAACTCATGTCCATTGAGTCGGTATCCATTAACCAGCTTCAATAATCATCAGCTCAATGACCCATTTGTAAGTCATCTATATGCTTATCCCCCTCCCCATTGTAAGAATTTGAAACAAATCCCAGCTATCACATTTTTTCATTTAAATACTTCAGTGTGTATTTCCAAAATACAAAAACTATTAAAAGTAACACAGTACATTATAAAACCTAACACATTAACAAAATTACTGAATTATCTATTGATATTTAATGTTCACATTTCTAATTGTTGTATAACTGTCATACATAATATTTTACAATTTTAAAAATCAAATTCCAACGTAGGACCACACAATGTGGTTAGTTTCTTAAATTTATTCTAATTGTTTATTCTCTTTGATAGGAAGAAAATTTAATAATCCATCAGGACAAATCTGTTTATCTCTTAATAGCTGACAAATTTTCTTTAATGAAAATAACAGGTCATTTAGAAAGAAAAGTCTTCTAGCTTACGTGAGAAAAATAGTTTGATGCTGGCAGTTTATATCCAACTGGAGATGAAACCTACCTCCACTCCGGCTGCAGCCAGGAGCCACCGAATGCACTCCATTCTGCCGCGTCCATTGAAGTAGTGTAGCTTGGGCTTCCCCGCCATGCTGGCAGTCTCCTGGTTTCTCTGAACATTGATGAATGAATTGAATGAGTAAGTGAATGAATGAACAAAGATAAAACCACAGAAGCCAAATGCACTTTATGATATATGGTTGAACAGCACCAACAGGGCAGAGGAAGTGTCGACCTCCTTCATGGCAGAGTTGGAACAGTCCCTGGAATGTCTTCCTTGGTCCAAATTATCACCTCCTCTAACCAATCATGGAAAATTGTATGAAGCCATTCTCCAGTCTCCACTGGGTAAAATCTGATTGTCCTGGCAGGCTAAGAGTCAAGTCTGTGGTAAGGATGATGGGTGGGTATTAGAGAGGGAAAGGACTAGAAAACTAGTATATATATATTTTTAATTAATGCATTTATTTGACTGTAACGGATCTTCTCTGTGCCAGGCAGGATCTTCTTTTCAGTTGCACCATGTGGAATCTTTAGTTGTGGCAAGCAAACTCCTTAGTTGTAGCATGTGGAATCTAGTTCTGTGACCAGGGATCGAACTCAGTCATTGGGGAGCATGAAGTCTTAGCCACTGGATCACTAGGGAAGTCCTGAGTACTAGTATTTACTGAAAACCTCCTAATGGTCCTGCCCCACTGTTAACCCCTTTGGATGTCTAATCCTCACAAAAATCCCATGAACTAGTTTTTGTGGTATTTTTAGTTAATAATACCAAAGCTCAGAGGTTAAGTGATATGTTCACAGTCATAATCCAGTTAGTGATGGATGTGGATATCCACACCTAGGATTAAAATGAAGACAAGGCTGGAACCTACACTGATGCAGGCCCTGGGACCCTGGGAGGGAGGGGCATTGGAGCCAGAGGGCTTCAAAGAGGGAGGAGGGGGAGGTGGAGACAGCGGCCATGGCCAGCTCCTTGGCTGTTACAATGCATTTGTTCAAAAGCTGAAATTAGGACTCAATTTGGTTAACTGTTGCTCAAAAATCCTAATTTTTTCTACACACTTGGGATGTTAAGTCCTTCCATTTTCTGCAGTTCTAGATTCTACCTCTCTTGGTACATCTTCTGTCTAGAACAAGGGATGTTGCTGCATGAACTTTACCGTCTGGGAGGGAACCAACATCTGTTCAATGTCTATCATGCGGTGGGCATTGTCACAAATTTATCTTCATTTAACCCTCCCAAAATCACCTGCTGTGACGTTTGTCATTGCTCTCATTTTGCAGTTGGGAATGTTGAAGTTTCTAGGGTAACTTGCCCAAAGTAGGTGGTGGATCTGGGATTCAAAGCTACTTCTATATGAAGCCAAAGTTTGGTTTCATTTTTCCATATTAGTGTTTTTCCAAATGTGCATGACAATCCTTCAGTGGACTATGACATCCACCAATTTTTAAAATAGAAAAAAATAGAAATAGGAAATATCAAAGTGCCTTCAATGTTCAAGAGGTAACCATCATTCCATGAAATTTTAGTTCTGATGTGTGTATGGGTAAAGGAAAGCACAGTTATCTGGTCATTGCAATGGTAAGAGATACTTTGGTTGGGTCCACTCAATGACGACGTTTAAAAGCCCTTGGTCTACAGCAGCCTGCCTGAGGGGTGGACATAGCAGGGAACCAGAGAATGAAATTCAAAGGCTCTGGACAGAACTAGTTCTATTATGAGTGTGAATGGAAACATACAGGACTCATTAAAAGCTGGAGTCCCAAAGCCAGGATGTATGGACAAACAGCTGCATTTTCTATGCAAATCCCAATGTTTAGAAAGAGCTAAGATTCTCTTGCAAAATTTTGTTGTTATGGAGCTTGGGAAAAAATATACTTCTTTTTACCCAATAATCATCTCCTGAAAAATATACACGACTTGAATTTTAGATATCAAATGTTTTCAATATCTGCATTTTTAATGTGAGATCAATGGTCTAACCTTTGGAAAATAAAGGATCCCTTGGAAACCTATTTATCTCATCTGTCTGGAAGTTGGAGATTGTATATATTGTACTTTTCTTATCATCTGTGATTCAGCAGAATTCTGAGAAGGTGTCTCTGTGAGGTGGAAGTCACAGATTCCCCTCACACTAAGCTCTCTCTCACACTAAGCTCCCTTATCTAATGACCAAGGATCACGTTACAAAGGGAAAAGAATTTTTAACTTACATAATATTTTATCATATCTTTCTTATAATATTTTTCTTCATCTTTTGAAGGCTGGGGCAAATGTGATATAAACCTCCTGGTCCCCAGAAAATGAGAACTAGAGAGATTCAGTGACTTGCGATCAGTCACACATGTGTGTTCCCGATTCACACTCAATATCTAGCAAGTGTGTCCACCCCAGGACAACTCAGAGAAACAGCTTCCAGTAACCTATTGTCAGAAGGAGGAAACTCAAGTTCAAAGAGCTGAAGCTACTTTCCTAGCTCACTCATTTTGTGAGCACTGGGGTCCTTTGAAGGCATCTTCTGACTTCTGATCTGGGCTCCCACCCCAACCAGGTAACACGTATGCCCTCTCTCTGCTGATCTCTGAGACCCTCAATATTAGTTTGTTCCCCATTCAGAATCCGTTAGTCAATTAACAGTTAAATGGGAGAGAAGGAAACATTAAATTCATGAGTTCCTTTTCTGTTAGCTGATTCCTAGGGGCTTGATTGATATAAGGAAGCACAAGCTGGAATCAAGATTGCCGGGAAAAATATCAATAACCTCAGATATGCAGATGACACCACCCTTCTGGCAGAAAGTGAAAAACTAAAGAGCTTCTTGATGAAAGTGAAAGAGGAGAGTGAAAAAGTTTGCTTAAAACTCAACATTCAGAAAACTAAGATCATGACATCCAGTCCCATCACTTCATGGCAAACAGATGGGGAAACAGTGGAAACAGTGAGTGACCTTATTTTTGGGGGCTCCAAAATCACTGCAGATGGTGACTGCAGCCATGAAATTAAAAGACACTTGCTCCTTGGAAGAAAAGCTATAACAAACCTAGATAGCCTATTAAAAAACAGAGACATTACTTTGCCAACAAAGGTCCATCAGAGCTATGGTTTTTCCAGCAGTCATGTATGGATGTGAGAGTTGGATCATAAAGAAAGCTGAGCACCAAAGAATTGATGCTTTTGAACCGTGGTGTGGGAGAAGACTCTTGACATTCACTTGGACAAATAGAAGATCAAACCAGTCAATCCTAAAGGAAATCAGTCCTGAATATTCATTGGAAGGACTGAATGTTGAAGCTGAAACTCCAATATTTTGGCCACCAGATGTGAAGAACTGACTCATTGGAAAAGACCCTGATGCCGGGAAAGATTGAAGGCAGGAGGAGAAGGGGACGACAGAGGATGAGATGGTTGGATGGCATCACTGACTGGAAGGACATGAATTGGAGCAAGTTCCAGGAGTTGGTGATGGACAAGGAAGTCAGGCGTGCTGCAGTCCATGGGGTCACAAAGAGTCAGACATGACTCAGCAACTGAACTGTACTGAACTGATATGAGGAAAAATGCATAAAAGCATACCTTACTTTACCTGAAACCCTAAAAACTTACTATGAGTAAATTGAGCACTAGTATAACTATATTTGACCTTCACAAGGAGGTAGGCTTACATTCCCTGAAAGGAATGTGTGTGTGTGTGTGTGTGTGTGTGTGTGTGTGTGTGTGTGTGTGCGCATGCGCTTAGTCACTCAGTCGTGTCCGACTCTTTGTGACCCCATGGACTGTAGCCTGCCAGGCCCCTCTGAGCATGGAATTATCCAGGTAAGAAAACTGGAGTGGGTTGCCATTCCCTCCTCCAGGGGATCTTCCCAACCCAGGGATCAAACCCATGTCTCTTGCGTCTCCTGCATTGGCAGATAGATTCTTTACCACTGGGCCATCTGTGAAACCCAAAGGGAGTGTATCCTGGGATAATCCAGTGTGAACTAAAGGGGCTATTTCTGGGAGCTGGTGGGGAGCAGGGCCCTGATGACAGCGTTTCTTAGCTGAGAGAAGGAAGGCTTAGAGACAAAGCCCAACTGCTTTCTTTATGAGGTACATACCCTCAGGGGAGTTGTTTAATCTCTTTACCTCAGCGTTCTCTAGTGAAGGCTGTTGAAAAAATTAGAGTATAAAAAATTCATAATAGGGACCAGGAAATTTCCCTCCTGCTCCCAGTTCCTGGGAGATGGGCAAGTCTCCAAGCATACTGGGCAGTGCGTGTGTCTATTTACCTCTTGACTCAAAGGTCTTGTAGGAATAAGAATTTATACATATTCAGATTTTTTTCAACTAAGTCATGCTGGTTCTCTTTTTATTTGGCTTGTGTGAAATATTAGTGATAATCACCGACTAGTTAACCTGGATGGCATGACGTTTTTGGCAAAGATTCAGGGAGATATGTCTCAGCATATTGCCCTTTGGCAGCCCCAAGATTGTAGCTGGCCCCTGGTTGAATCCTGCACCCTGCCTTGCCTTGCCGCTCAGGCCTGGCCCTGCCCCACTCACTGCCCGTTCTGGACTCCCTGGAATCTTTCCTGCCCCATCCCTCACCCGCTTTGCATGGGTCCCAGCCACAGCAGGAACTCATTACTCTCAACACCTGATGGAAAAAGATCCCTTCTCTCCAACCTCTGGTTCCTTACCTGAATATGCAGACCCTTCACTGATCTTTCTTTAACACCTTATTTCTGGTTGACATGTATGCGTATTTCCTCCTCTTAACAAGTTTCCTTCAAACCTTCTAAGGCTTTTGTTTTCCCCCCAATATTAGTACTTACAACAGTGCATTGTTCACTCCTGCATTCCGATTCGAACGACTTGTGCCTTCTGAAAGTGAAAGTGTTAGTGGCTCAGTTGTGTCTGACTTTTTGCGACTCCATGGACAGAGGAGCCTGGCAGGCTACAGTCTACGGGATTCTCCAGGCAAGAATACTGGAGTGGGTTGCCATTTCCTTCTCCAGGGGATCTTCCCAACCCAGGGACTGAACCCAGGTCTCCTATATTGCAAGCAGATTCTTTACCATCTGAACGTCTGGAGAAGCCCTGTACCTTCT